TGTTTTTCGCGGCCCAGAGATGTAATATTCCATTTCATATTTGTTTATATGAGAAGTTTTAGTGGTACAGTGTAATTGTTGACATACTGTAAGGAAGTGTTTCTTGGTGTCGTAAAGGAAGCGTTTCAAAGAAATGGGAAAGTTCTGTACAAAGCAACCATTCGCAGTATTAGCATTCCTACCGGTGTTAAAGTCAACATGTAAGGAAAATCGGTAACACTTTACTTGAAGGGGTGTGCATAAGACTGACATGACACCTTCATAATCATGACATGACATATGTGTTGAATATGAAGTAGTGTTTATGCATGTTTATGACAACTGTCATTAAGTGTCTTTCACTCAGTTATGACATTTTGAATGCAAATTTGACTTTGTTTAAGATGTCGACTCTTGACATAAACAATACATCATAACCTGTCAGTGTCTGTCATGACAACTTGACATAAATGAAGTTGAACTGTCATGTGGTTGGCTGTCATGAGGCATTATAACTGTCATGAATATTGTTACAGTGGTATTAATTGAATTTGTCATTAAAAAAGTTATAATGGCTTCATGACAGCCAATGTCAAAACCAACCAGCTGACAGTTTAATGTAATGTTAACCAATAAAGCTAGCCCTCAAACCGTATTTCACTTTATAGCCCTTAATCCTGTAATTGTGGACACATGTGGGCACAGAGGACTCGGGTGTGATTCTAATTTTTATTTATTATAAACGTTATATCACTGTCTTCGATAAAGTTTTGTCTATCCATTTATGGTGGGTTTTTTTTTATTTTGGGGTATTTTTTGAATTTATTTACTTCAAAAAGTTACCATATTTTCTATTTAAATTATGCTTATTTTTATGTTTTATTTTATTATTTATTTTAACTACATTAAATATCATTTCAATGAGTTCTTAGAGCTAAAACTTAAAGATGAAGTGACTTTGTGTCACCCGGTGTCTTATTTTGGCTTATTTTATAATGCTTTAAATTACAGTTGCCCAATTTTTGACCCAAATACAAGATTAAGGAGTTTTTTTTTTTTTCACCCGCTTAACATTGAGAACTGAGTCAAAAAAAAATAATAGTGTGTGTTCAGGAGGCAAACTTAGGAAAAGTAGCCAAGTCTTGTACCGCTCAGATCAAGGGAAGTATTTTTTTAAAAAATAAATCAAAACTATTTTTGCCCACATTTGTCCAGAATACGGTTTTAGGGTTAGTGTTGATAATTAATCTGCTATGTCATGTTTATGACTGGTTGTGTTGTTAGTAATCAAGTCAAGTTGTCATGATGTATTGGCTTGTCAACAATGTCATATTTGCATTCAAAATGTCATAACTGAGCAAAAAGACACTTTAATGACAGTTGTCACAAACATGCATTAAAACTTCCTTCATATTCATACCTTATGTGATGTCATGATTATGAAGGTGTCATGTCAGTCTTATGCACACCCTTCAAGTAAAAGGCTGTAAAACAGGATATTCAATGAGGTTGGGATTGTGAAAATTGTGTAGTTTTGTAGGTTGCATTGTGATGAAGGAATAACGTGCATCTGTGAAGTGTGTGAGCTATAACTGTTTGATTTCATGTTGACTTTAAAGCCTCATGCAGTTATGAACACTAGATCTTTTCTTCTTCTTGGCCATTCCAAACACTGGAGAAGCAAACTGTGAACATTGTGTCTTTGCTTTTATGTCGATACAAACTAATGGATGATAATACACTGTTTTTGGATTTTCTTTCTTTTCTAGTTTTCTATGTACGGACAAACCACTTTGATTCTGATCTGTGACGAAAGGGTTTTATTGTACAGCTTCACAATCCGAAACCTCCGAGCTCTGTTTGAACAAATGCCCATCCGCAGGCGTGTACGAGTGACTTGCATGCCACAACCAGGAGCCCGAATGTCTCTTTATCGAAGGACACGCATGGGCATTTGTTCTTGATCGTTCCCACTTCCGAAACCTTGTTAATACGTGTCTGCATGTGCGTGAGTGTGGGCATTCGTCCGTGACGTGATTGCTGTCGGGTGTGAGTCGTCTAAATCGGTGCGGCGGCACTTCCTTTCTCTCACCTAACTTTGTAAATAACTCTCAAAATGGACAAAAAAAAAAGATGATGATCTTCACAGCTGCCAAAAGACATTTCCATGATGTAAGATAGTATATTTACAAAAATGTTTTAGATGAGGAATGCATTAATTAATAAATCTATTCATGTTTACCCTTACCCTTTGACCCTGTGCTTTAATTCATTTTAATAAAATTACCCTAAAAGTATCATGCATATGTTTTTGCATTATATTTCAAGTCTTCCGAGGCTGTTTGTGAACTATTACTTAAATATGCTTATTTCAGTACTTTAAACGTTAAGTGCTTTGTCTATTTTCAAGTAAGCAAAGTTCCTTGTTGCTTGAGGCCTTTTTTAATGTAAATTAGGGCTGTCAAACGATTAATTGCATCCAAATAAAAGTTTGTGTTTACATAATATATGTTGGTGCACTGGTATAATTATATATTATATATAATATATATATATATAATATATATATATAAATACACACACAATGCACGTATATTTAAGAAAAAAAAATATTTATGTATAAAATTTATTTTACATATAATAAAATTATATATAAATCTATATACATATATACATGAAAATATTTATTAAATATATATACATGCATGTGTGTGTATTTATATATGAAGAGTTCAGATGCAAAAGCCTCTAAATGCCATTTGAAATTTTCTTCTTTAATGATGATTTTTATCAAACTTGTTTATTTAAGTTCAGTAATTTCACTTAATAACAATTAATAGGTAATCATCATTGCCATTTAAGTGAAATCACTGAACTTAAATATACAAGCTTGATAAAAATGATCATTCTAGAAGAAAATTTCAAATGGCACTTAGAGGCTTTTGCATCTGAACTCTTCATATATATATATATATATATATATATATATATAATTATACACGGTGCACCAACATATATTATGTAAACACGAACTTTTATTTTAGATGCTATTAATTGCGATTAATCGTTTGACTGCCCCAATGTAAATAAATAGCAATGCATATAAAATATATACATTTATTTGTATATAAGATATACCATATACAGTACACTCATGTAAATGATATATACCATCTTAGCTGCTTGATCATCGCAAAAATATAAACTTATTAAACACAGCTCTTATCTGTAAATTGGACTATAAGGCGTGAAGATATGTGCAAGTGAAAAGCACTACACCAATAACACCAACATGACTTGAAGTCCAACATTTGGTCAGTATATGGTGGATTGAATCACTACACGAGTGTGAACGCTGATCTCTTCTGGTGGTTCATGATACTACAGAACATAAATCCACAGTATCGTTATGGCAACTAGAACTAGCTAGAAGGAGAGACCTTCACACTCTCATGAGGACCATATGAAGTCAATAGAGCAGCAGCTGTTAAAAGCTTCAGTTTAGTTTCATATCTTGCTAATTACGCAAGCTCGTCTAGTTTCGTTACAGTTCGTTACATCAAAAGGAACAGAATGTCTGACATCATTTACTCGCACTCAAATTCCAAACCGGATTTCTTTATTCAGTGGAACACCAAAGCCGATATTTAGTGGACTGTTCATGCTGCTTGTTTCCATACAGTGGAAACTCAAAAAATGATAAAATGGTGGCACTATAAGAGCAAACTACTAACTAATGCTCCGTACTCCATGATAGCTTTGTGTGAAGAACACAACCAAACCAACGAGGAAGAGTAAATTATGACTGTGTGTTGGAACTGAAACGCATTTCTTCAGGCTTATTCACCTTTGCTTGATGATGTTAGTTTTTAGCAAGCCAGAAACCCCCCGTCCACGGGCAGGATCACTCCATTGGTCATGGCACTCTTATCGCTGAGGAGGAAGAGGATGGAGTTGACCACATCCTCCACTTCTAAACAACACAGTAAGAAAGACACTGGAGCATTACTGTATTACAGACACACAACTATGGTTGTGGACAGACATTGACATTCACAAGCCTCAGAGTTTCAGAGTCTGCCACTAAAATGTGCTTACACAATCTTTGCTCAATCCCAAAATGCAGAGAGAGGAGTATTAAATAACCCAACAGAAGAACAACATGAGTGAACGGACAGCACTGCCAGTGTTTAGTTGTTGAGAAATGCATTCTCATCGTTGAAATCAACTTAAATTTACTGAAACAACTAGGTGAAACACAAGGAAAGAGGAATGGAGATTTGACCTCCTGTTATAGTGACCTACAAACACAGGCTTACCTGCAAATTTGCCCAGTGGGATCCGTGATGTCATGCTCTTGGCCTTTTCTGGGTCGCTCCATCCAATCTTTCCCATTTCTGTCATCACCACAGTCGGGTTCACTGAGTTCACTCTTATCTGTCGAGGTCAGATTACATAAAACATGCTAAACTCACATGAAAGATGCATATCTGTCAATCAAGACAATAAACACTTTCATTTTAATATATATATATATATATATATATATATATATATATATATATATATATATATAGCAAAACTGGCCAAGATTTGATTTTAGAATAATATTTTTTTTAATCACATTTAACAATCAACTATAATGATAAATTATATTATGAATTTGGTATATTTTTATTATTATTTAAAAATAATATAATAATTTATGGTAAATATGTCTACCAATAACTACAAACTAGCATTTGGTCTTAATAACAACGACAATAATAATAATACAATTAATTAATAAAATAAATAATATCAAAAATATCAAAAGCAGAAAATACAATAAAACCATGCATCACATTTTGATGTATTTACTGTTCTAATATTTTTAAATTATTTCAATTCAATACAAATTATATTAAAATATACTACTAATAATAATAATACTAGCTTAATTTAGACTAAATCTGCAAGCCTTTGTGTATTTACTGCTTATTTTATTTTAATTTAATATTAATTCTAATAAAATATTTATTTATATATATTAGAATAATTATTAATTATGTATTTAATGACTAAAAAATAAATGTATATATATATATATATATATATATATTATTTTTTTATTTTTACTTATTATTATTCATAATATTCATCATAATTCACTATTCATGTAAAGAGTTAAAAAATGATGTCCACATTGTTCATTAACGAGAAATGTTTAGATGACAGGCGTTATGACGTCAATGATTTCAATTACTTTTATGTTCCTATAGCAAACCAATTTGTCTACTAGTCAAGATCCATACTCTGTTAATATGATCAGGAAAAGCAATAAGCTGGGGAATATTAACACACGTCCCTAATCCACTCCATCATTTATGGCAATGCACAAACAACTCATAAATGTGCATTATTATCTGTTAGTAATTACACTAACTCCTCCAAGAATTTGCAAGGCGGTTGGAAACACACCCAAACATTTAATCTCCCATTTGAGACGTTCAGCAGCACACAGATTTATGCGTTTTAAAGAGGGTGGTTGTTGATTGGCTTGAAGCCTCCTGGCATGACTGATCATCGCAATGTACGGTTTATTTTCACAAAGCTATAAACAACAAAGTACCATGAGCTTATTGATTGATAGATTTCACAAACATGATCAGTGATTAACCTGATGCGGCCCCAACTCCAGTGCCATCACTCTGGTCAGCATGTCCAGCGCTCCTTTCGTGGCACCTTCACAAAACACAAACACATTCAAGGTTCATCCAAAACTTGGACTTGGTTAAGAATTTAAGAGAGTTCTCTAGTAATGCAAGGGGGGAAGGGCCATAAATGTCTGGAATACAAGATTCTGAATGGTCAGAAATTGAATTCTGTGGTCAGAAACTTTTTGTGTAATGACCCTTAAAATTGTACAATCAACCATCATCCCAGAAATGAATTTTCTACATAGCTGTGCTACTTGATGTCTCTCGAAAACACAGTAATAAAAACTTAAATCCATGTATTTATTTATAAGTAAAGTCAGTTGATCATAATCACAAAATGAACTCCCGAAAGAGCATCAACGTCTTTTTCTCTATATTAACCAGCATTATTATTAGTGTACATCATTACATAAAAATCCTCCATCAGCATCTACTTTTGCATATGCATTTATGAGACATCTATAATAAGTTTACATGCACCCAAATAATCAGCTGTAATCGATCTGATTTGATTGACCTCGATTAGAAGAAAATTTGATGGGGCGGACTCGAAATAAGATAATAGACTCGTTAATTCAGAAAAACAGAGCAAAAACATTTTCCCATGAAAAATTATCTTGTAATTCTGAGATAATTAACTCGTTAATTCAAAAAACAGAGCAAAACTTTTTTCCATGAAAAATTATCTTCTAATTCTGAGATAATTAACTCATTAATTCAAAAAACAGAGCAAAACTTTTTTCCATAAAAAATTATCTTGTAATTCTGAGATAATTAACTCGTTAATTCAAAAAACAAAGCAAAAACTTTTTTCCATGAATTAACTCGTTAATTCAGAAAAACAGAGCAAAAACTTTCTCATTAAAAATTCTCTCGTAATTCTGAGATAATGAACTCGTTAATTCAGAAAAACAGAGCAAAAACCTTTTCCCATGAAAAATTATCTTGTAATTCTGAGATAATTAATTCGTTAATTCAAAAAAACAGAGCAAAACTTTTTTCCATAAAAAATTATCTTGTAATTCTGAGATAACTAACTTGTTAATTCAAAAAACAAAGCAAAAACTTTTTTCCATGAATTAACTCGTTAATTCAGAAAAACAGAGCAAAAACTTTCTCATTAAAAATTCTCTCGTAATTCTGAGATAATTAACTCGTTAATTCAGAAAAACAGAGCAAACACTTTTTTCCATGAAAAATTAACTCATTTATTCAGAAAAACAGAGCAAAAACTTTTTCCCATGAAAAATGATCTTGTAATTCTGAGATAATTAACTCGTTAATTAAAAAACAGAGCAAAAACTTTTTCCCCATGATAAATGATCTTGTAATTCTGAGATAATTAACTCGTTAATTCAGAAAAACAGAGCAAAAACTTTTTCCCATGAAAAATGATCTTGTAATTCTGAGATAATTAACTCAGAAAAACAGAGTAGATTTTTTCTTCAAGTGAATGCAATACGCTTCTGTAGCACATGCAACGTTTCAGATTCATATAAATAAAACTTCCAGAATCTGAAATCGGTTTGGATTCCAACTGATGAAAATTAGTGCATGTTGTTGTACCTATTGTAAAAAAAAAGCACAAGGCCTTGTACAGAACGTTTCTCCCCCAGGTCCAATAGATAGGCCTGGGATAATGTTGCCGGTTGCATGAATGCGACAAATAAGATTAGACATGCGAGTTAGATTCGTGCACTCACAGTATACGGCGTGATCTTTCAGAGCGCACTGTGAGGCTTGACTCGAGACGTTCACAATGGATCCTCCAGTTCCTCTGGCCTTCATACCTCGAGCCACTATCTACAGTAAATGCACATTAAAAGTGTGTGTAGCATTAATAAAACTCATTATGAAATCATAAAGCATAGGTTTGCTTTCTTCTTACTTGAGCAACATGAAGTGCAGCTTTCACGTTGACACTGAAAGACCTGCAAAAGCCATCACAAATGCAGTCTGACTGTTTTAAAACACAAATTATAGTGTGTGAGAGATATTTTAAAGCCTTACATGTCAAACTGATCTGGCGTGACTTCTAGGAAGGGCTGAAGAGAAGCGCAGGCTGCATTGTTCACCAGAAGATCCACCGGACCGACGTCTTTCAGCGCCTGGGCTGTGGCGTCCCAGTCCGACAGGTCCACACACACCGGCTTAATGGAGGGACACTGGGGATCAAACGCATTGTCAAAGATTGTCCATTGTCACAGTCTGGCTGAATGAGACCTATAAAGCATAAAGGAGCAGTAGGGGTGCAGAGGAATGTGATGCATGCTGGGAAACAATAGATCCACAGGGTTTTGTCTCGGAGATGAGTTGGACCGTGACCGAGGGGTCAGTACCTCATGCACTAGGCTATCCAGGTCAGTCTTAGTGCGTGTGACAGCCGTGACCTCTGACCCACAGCGTGCCAGAGCCAGTGCCGTGGCCCGTCCGATCCCTACGAGGCATTGAGGTGAGTCAACGATCTGGTGTATCATCATTATACTTAAACACACTCATTTGGAAAGGTCAAAGCAAGCTGAAAAACCACTTAAGTACACACTTTTAAAGGAATCATCAACCAAAAATATAATGTCGTTCCAAACCTGTATGACTTTAGAAGATATTTTTAAATACACTATGTACAATGTGTTACCTTGTGAAAAAGAAGTGCACTTGTAGTGTACTTCACATCTTAAAAGTATATATTTTTTAAAACTGTACTTGCAGATATTATATTTTATGTTTCTTAACACATTTAAATACACTTCTAATTGCACTTAGTAATCATTTTACATTGTAAAACATTGTTTAATAATATTTTTCATAAAGTTTGAAAAACCACAAGCAGGTTATAAATGTGTCTTCTATGTCATAGTTCAAAACGTGAAAATTTTTAGAGGCTTTGTTCACCACAGACCTTATTTCAGGCGATTTAGCAAAAACCCATTCAAAAATCCCATAGGCTTTAGAGCGAGGGAACCGTAATGCTAAAATGCTAACTCACTTTCGCGTTTTGGCCTACAGAGTGACGTCGTAACTTCGGCACTCTATTTTAAAAAAAATTCCATAAAACTAAAATATTCCATAAAGTAGAAACAAAAACATATTTTTTTACTTGGTGACTTTAACCAACATAATTTTTTTGTGTGTGTGTGTGCAAATTTTTCCAAGAACACTCTATGGCAAATATCAGTTCATTAAATAGCTTAAATATCGCTGTCACTCTCTTCCAGAGTCGTGATTCATGGAAAAGAGCGACCAGGACAATCTTCAGAATCTCTCCCTTGTTTTCCAAAGAATAAAAATAGGTCGTTTCGAACGGGTGATCAAATATAATTTTTCATTGTCCATTTACCTTTGCCAGCTCCAGTCACCAAAGCACGCTTTCCACTAAATGTTATTTCCATTTTCCTGCAGTCCAAGTTCAGCCCTTTTACAGTCACGCGAAACTGAAAGTACAAAAAGTTATTTTCATGCGGACATTTTATGCGAAAACAGATGCGCGGAAATGTAGCATAAAAGCTTCGAAAATACTTAAAATATGAAATACTTTACGTACCTCAGTTTCAATCTGATGTTTGTTTGAAAAGTCAGTGAACCGAGCGAAGGTCAGCTGAGCAAACTTTATTTGTCACATGACCACTTTTACCTCAGAAAGTGTGGATGACTCGGTCAGTTAGTTAGTAATGACTACTATGTTCTACATACTGTAGTATGCATTATTCCTCCATGATATTGAATAATATTGGTTGGCTTTTTAGTAAGACCATGGGTTAATAAACTGAAGGGAATTTTAATTAAACCCTTGTTTACCTCAAGGGTTAAAATACTATGGAAGTCAATCGAGCCCATCAACTTATTTTGTCTTCTTCAGCAGAAGAAAAATCATACAGGTTGGAAACAACTTGAGAGTAAGTAAATAATGAGATCTTTTTTTAATTTTTAGGTGATCTATCCCTTTAAACCGGTCTTCGTATCTAATCCAATGTCATTTATTTTTGGGGCCCTCAACTGAAGACACAAATAAATATCTGTAAACTTGCATATTATTTGGTCTGAACTTTTTCTTTCACTTAAAAAGGAAAAAATGAAACCTGTGGTTTTTCATTTAAACAACTATTTTATTCTACAATATAAAGATTAACTCATGATGGTAGAATAACAAAAATACTAAACAGTTCCTATATAAGGATCATTCAATTGCTAAAATGTCAAGAATTTAGAGCAAACGAGTTTGATAGTTCAGAGTCTTTCAGAATTCAGAGTAATTTTACATTAAAAAGTTTATTATTTATTGTGAATAAGCAACAATTTGAACATTTAGCATTTTTATTTTTTTTTAGCATTTAACAATTTGAACAGTGAGCTTTTAACTGAATTATCTGCTGAAACTCTGTAGTTGGTCATTTATTATTGAAACGCAACATTTTAATAAATTGATTTTGAAAATATGTGAGTAAATCAACATTTTTACACCCAGTGGTCTCAAGAGATGTAAATAATCCATGGAATAATAAATCAACTACTTTCCACGCAGGACATTTGAAGCATTACATCTTCTAAACCACAAGCGGTTGCATTACAGTAACAGACATCATGTTCAGACACTGGCACAAGCATAATAAATAAATTTATTAAAATGAAAATCACACTTTACAACATTAAGTCACCAGATTAAAAAAAAAACAAAAAACATTCAACTGCAATAGCATTTGGTAGTGTCAATGAGCACGTTTATAAAATGTTTGTCACCGTTAAGGAAAGACAGAAAGCGTATAGTGTAGTTTTGGCATGTTAACACAAACCACTGGCCTGCAGTGAGGAACGTGTTTGTGCAAATAACATTCGAACAGCACAGAAAACACATTTAAACAGTCATGTTTCGAATCATCACACACTAGTGTTTCAATGGAAATAATTCAAAAAGTTGTTTTCTACTAAATAAACCACTCTATTAAAATATGAATGGCAAGCAATGGATAAATTAACAAGATTTTGCAACAATTGCTTTTGGTCTGTATATTTTCAGTGGAGTTTAATTGCTCGACTACATCCGAGAGTTCCTGCCTGTACGTCCAGAGACATACTGAGTGTCTTCGGTCATCCACAAATCACAAACAGAGAAGAACATAAAGCTGAAGAGCATTGGCAATAGATGAGCTGATGGTTGCATAAATCTTGAAAACAAAATACTATAAACTGCATCAATACTGTTTTTCTCGTCCATGGAGGTGTTCATGAGATCATCTTGCACACAAATTTATAGTATTGTGCAGGACATATTTATGGCCCTTAGGAAAAAGACAACTCTAAAAAAATGTTATAAAAGCCACAAAAATGTGTCTTAAATCAAAATCCCCTAGTAAATCTAACAGATAGCACAATCTTCCAGGGACTCATTATATGTAAATCAGTTGGCAAAAACACTATATTTCAGGACAACAATAAATTACAGCCACCCTGTTTCTCCATAAAAACACAAAAGTACCAAACAAACAAACACGTTGACTAGCTTCACCAACCAGCTGAGTTATTCGGAGAACTATTTTGGCATGAAGAGTTGTTTCCCAGCGGTCAGTGACGAGTCTTGCGTGGACACCACTCAGTGTCTGGGTAGAGCAGGCAGTGAACGCTTTTAAACCTGAAGAGAGAATGGCTGCTTAAAGTCACAATGAAATCAAAATAGATTTTTATATTTTTATAGAATATTGCAGTGTTTATAACATACATTCACCTAAAGGATTATTAGGAACACCATACTAATACTGTTTAGAACTGCCTTAATTCTACGTGGCATTGATTCAACAAAGCATTCTTTAGAAATGTTGGCCCATATTGATAGGATCGCATCTTGCAGTTGATGGAGATTTGTGGGATGCACATCCATTCATTCCACCACATCCCAAAGATGCTCTATTTCAGTGTTTCCCAACCCTGTTCCTGGCGGCACACCAACACTGCGCGTATTCTTTGTCTCCCTAATCAGACACACCTGATTCAACTCATCAGCTCATTAACCCATCTGATTATGAGCTGATGGGTTGAATCAGGTGTGTTTGATAAGGGAGACAAAGAATACACGCAGTGTTGGTGTGCCGCCAGGAACAGGGTTGGGAAACACTGCTCTATTGGGTTGAGATCTGGTGACTGTGGGGGCCATTTTAGTACAGTCAACTCATTGTCATGTTCAAGAAACGATTGGAGCTTTGTGACATGGTGCATTATCCTGCTGGAAGTAGACATCAGAGGATGGGGACATGGTGTCCATAAAGGGATGGACATGGTCAGAAACAATGCTCAGGTAGGCCGTGGCATTTAAACGATGCCCAATTGGCACTAAGGGGCCTAAAGTGTGCCAAGAAAACATCCAACACACCATTACACCACCACCACCAGCCTGCACAGTGGGAACAAGGCATGATGGATCATGTTCTCATTCTGTTTACGACAAATTCGGACTCTACCATCTGAAATCGAGACTCATCAGACCAGGCAACATTTTTCCAGTCTTCAACTGTCCAGTTTTGGTGAGCTCTTGCAAATTGTCGCCTCTTTTTCCTATTTGTAGTGGAGATGAGTGGTACCCGGTGGGGTCTTCTGCTGTTGTAGCCCATCCGCCTCAAGGTTGTGTGTGTTGTGTCTTTGCTGCATACCTCGGTTGTAACGAGTGGTTATTTCAGTCAAAGTTGCTCTTCTATCAGCTTGAATCAGTCGGCCCATTCTCCTCTGACCTCTCGCATCAACAAGGCATTTTGGCCCACAGGACTGCCGCATACTGGATGTTTTTCCCTTTTCACACCATTCTTTGTAAATCCTAGAAATGGTTGTGCGTGAAAATCCCAGTAACTGAGCAGATTGTGAAATACTCAGACCGACCCGTCTGGCACCAACAATTGAACAGGTGTTCCTAGTTATCCTTTAGGTGAGTGTATATTAAATTATTTATCTGTGTCCATTTTATTTTAACCCTTCGGGTCGCCGATCACGCGGCGTGATTAAGTCACATGTCCAGTTTAAGACGAAGCATAAAAACAAAGTCACGTTGAGCGCTGCCGTCCACTTCTGTCCAAAGTGCTGATTTGAAACTCTATTTTACTTTTTGTTTTGTGTTGATAGACCAAGTAAAAACGGAGATATGATCATTTAAACTTTATATAAAAAATGTACGCGTATATTGACGTGTTCGTAAAAGAATGCAAGATGGGATGTGACAGACGTTGAACTTTGTCGGTTTTTGTCATAAAACTAAACGGAGAAAAATGTGTGAATCTGCTGACACATTTTACGGAATGAAGGAGGAGCCAACCGAGCAAAGACGCGAAACGTGAAACTTAAAGGCAGGAGATTTACGGAGTAGACAAAGAGAGACATATATACGTTACAGAGAGAGAGAAATTATTGCTAGTTTGAGTAGATTGAGAGTAGTTTAGGAGTGGTGTAGATAGTTTAGGAATAGTTTGGGTAGTTTAGGAGTAGATTAGATGAACTGTTTTGAGGAGTGGCACAGATAAAAAAAAACACAACAACAAATAAACACACCTGATATTTGTTGTAAATAGTTGAATGTATGGTTTGATTTTGTGTTCATTTGACCTTTTGTGTGGTATATTTGCACTATTGAGGAACCCCTCTTACTCAAGGAATGAAAGCCCTGTAATGTAGCTAGCTGTGTAATTGTACATGAAGTGTTTTTTAGTTTCTAAGCAAAAAGAAAAGAAAAAACGCCTATTGCCACACCTGCTTTTAGCTGTATATAGTTTCATTTTATCTCAATTTTACCTTTTTTTATGTTGTATTTGCACTATTTGGGAACCCTCATACTCTGGGAATGCAAGGCCTTAAATATAGCTCTGTATATTTGTGTGCACATTTTTTTTTTTTTTTTTTTAAAGTGGCAAGGCTAAAATGAAAAAAAAAAAAAGCCTATGGCTACACTCGCTTTTTTTGTAAATCATATTTTTTTTGTATATAGCTTGATAATATCTGAATTTTACCTGTATATTTGACATTTACAACTTGTGTTTACATTTTAAACCTTTTAAAATGCTTCTTTGAGCTTGTTTGTGTTTTTTGTAGTAGAAAAGCTTTAATATTTCTATTTGGATTTTGTGTTTTTTGTGTGATTTTGGGTCCAGTATGTTGATACAGTACATCAAAGTAATAAACTAATTGTCTGGTCATATAGGTGATGTTGCGCTAAAAAACATTATACCAAAAATATCTATGGTAAACATTTGTTTATGTCGCAAAACTAAAAAAAAAAAAAAAAAAAGTACTTAAAAAGGGCCAAAATAGCCCAAGACTCCGAAGGGTTAAATACATGCAAATCGAAATTGATTTCTTCAACGATGCATTGAAGTCGTAACTATGATAGTTAAGCTGTGAGTTATGTCATTGTACTTGAAACCCACCCTAGAGTGTTACTGACAGAATGTGAAGAGGAGCTGCAACATCAAATATGTGAAAAATAATGTGGGTTTTTTTAGCCATCAACCGTGTAAACCTATTCTAGTAGAGCCCAAAAAACTAAATCAAGACTAAATGAGCAGAAAATGCCCTCTTTAATAAAAATCCACCACTGAAACTTAATTTTTAAGTGATGAAACAACCTGTGGTTCAAAGCATTATATATATTTGGTGTGGACGTATGAGTCTGCGTACCGTGAAGGGTCTTCAGCCAATGAGAACACTCCCCCAACACTGACCACATTCCTCCTGTTCTCGAATCCACCATAACTGAGGGTCACCTACGGAGGAAAGCACAGTAACACAAAAACTGTGAGAATCTCAATCATGAGAGACATTATGGGATTGGAGTAGGCAGGTATTACATAAGTATGATATATATATATATATATATATAGGGTGGGAGTGATCTGGGATCAAAGCCAAGCCCTCAATAAGTGCACTTGTTTTGGTGCTACAGTACTAACCCTGTAAAACCTGACATTCAAAATTATTGTAATTTTTTTCAAACGGTACAATTTATTGAGCCTTTCGACAACAAATCTTATTTAAAATTATAAAACGGTATACATCTTTATGATTCATATAGTACTCGAGTAGAAAGAAACGTCTCTAATTTTATTCAAAGAACCAAACTGAGCAAAATATACAATTACATTATACATTATTTTCCTGTTATCTCTGTAAAGCTGCTTTGAATCAATCTGTATTGTAAAAAGCGCTATATTAATTAAAGCTGCGAGCAGCATTTAGCGGGGTTAAAGCATTTATAGCCTTTAAAGACAGACGCATTAAAGACATTAAGTTTTATTTAGCAAGCACTGACATAATAGATGGAAAAGACCATTAACAGCCAATACAGGCAATTTACCATAGGACATGCATGGATTTTAAAGCTTTTTGCCAGTTATAGCGCCATCTATTGTCTGATCCCCATAGAATTTTGCATGCTTGTTCAGAATGTTATGTCCCATTTTCTCACCAATTCTCGTGAAGTTCTGAGTTTTCGTTTAGGATTTATAGGCTTTTGAGTGTATTTTGCCACGCCCATTTTATACATTTCGCTGTTATAGCCATCCAAATGCAAAAGTTCAACTTTTTTTCGATAATTATTTATCTAGAGAGTCCAAAGAATTGTCTTATATTGGTTTGGTTTCCGATCAGGCGAAAAACCTAGGACTAGTTCGCAAAAGTAGGTTTTGGACAAAATTCAAGATGGCCGAAAATTACCTATGCTGAACATTTATAAAAATCCCCACCCTTTTCCCCCAGGGTCCTCGCAGCGATCTGACCTGTTTGAGTATGCTGTCTGTAGGGAGTCTCTGGAGGTTCTCCAGGTGTGAGTGGAACAGGCCTGTGTGTGTCAGAGGAACTTCCAGCAACGCCTCGATGATGTAACCTACTGTACAGTCGTCCGGGAGGCGGATCTTCTCTGCGGTTGTGATGAAGTTTCCAAGACTGTGAGAGAGCAAGAAATTTAATTCAGTCTAAAAATAACGTACACCATAACATCTAAGACAGCTTATCGATTAGAATGTAAACCTGTGATTGAGGCCTATAAAAGATTTTTTTACATGTATAATTACAAAGTTATGTTGTCTTGGTGTTGACATCAAAACTGTTGCATAGTAAGTCATGTGCTCGCTGAATAAAGCTGACAAGAATGCCGGAAGGTGTGTTTACATGCAAAGTGGATCTGGGGTAACGGGCATAAATGCATGCATGTCAAGACAATGATGTTTTGTTTAAACCTTCCAACGAAGAAAAAAACTTGTGTAACAGCATGATCAGTGTAAGATCCCTGAGAAGTGTGTGTACCTTGCCCATGGACTCATTTTGAGCGCCAAGCCTCGGCTGATGCAGAATCCCGCTCCTCCGGTGGCGAACCAGAACTTCACGGACACCTGCAGAACACACGATTAATACACTTCTATTCAGACGTAGGATTTTTTTTCCAAAGAAATGTATATTTTTATTTAGCAAGGATGCATTAAATTGATGAAAACTGACAGTAAACCATTTCTGATGTTAAAAAAAGATTCAAGTTAAAAATAAATGCTGTTCTTCTTTAAGTTTCTATGGAAAAAAATTCCACGGATTCCACACAAATCTAAAGCAGTAAAACTGACAAATCAGCATATTTGGAATGATTTCTGAAGGATCATGTGAGAATGGAGACTGGAGTAATGAAGCTTTGAATCAATTACATTGTAAAAATATATTCAAATGGAAAACGGGTATTGTACATTGTAATAATTTTTCAAAATATTATTTTCACTGGATTTATGATCAAATAAATGCAGCCTTGGTGAGCAGAAGAGATTTCTTGCGAAAACATTAAAAAATCTTAGCGATGCCAAACTTTTCAAAAGGTACTGTATATATCAATCATGATAAAAATTTCACGAAAAAAAAAAAACACGAATAATGAACATAATTTCATCACAGATGGAAGAAAATATTTTTTTTTAATAGTATAGCTCAGACAAAATGTATCCGAGATCGTATTTTACTACAAGAATTACATTTTAGTAGTTTCTTCAAATTAAACTGGACATTTATTTTGACATTTTGTCATGAAGATTTTTTTAGTTTTAGTTTCAATGTGTATTTGATGTTAGTTTTTCTCAAATTAGAGGTAAAAAGCTTGTTAAATCACTCTCAGCAGCAGCATTGGAGACACTTCATATATTGAAGATGAACACCTGTTTGAGTTTTGTGTAGTAGACGAAATTATGGCACTCATTCACAGAAGCACACGGAACATTATTAACCTGACGTCGTCATATCAGATTCTAGTCAGCATGTGAGTTTGATTCTACTCCATTGGGCTGTGCTTATGGGGGGTTTCAACCGAATCTACACATCTAAGTTCTCCAGCGGCAGCCATTTTTTGTTGTAAACGAATTTTACCAAGCGCTCTTTGGTGACGTGAATGATTACAATACTGTTGATCATCTGTCCATCATCGTATAAAGCCCGCCCTGACAATTTGATTGGCCCGAACAGCTTTGGTTCGGGCATACTTGCTCTACAACGAATCAAGTCCAGACCGAACCTCCCATCCTCAAATGTTGTGGGCGGGGCTAAATATTATCAGCAGCTGTTGGCGAATTTATTTCTGCTGTGTGATAGGCTGTTAAATTAAAGTCCTTTTTTATTCACAATCTCCTTATCGTCGACAAGCACAGCACTCATTTTTGCAACGCAACGTTAAATTATTGGCAGTTTGTCACCCGTAACACTTTATCAAGGCATATGATAGGCTGTTTATGATCAGGGACGGTGCACGCTTGAGGGTTGTTCATGTAACCAAACTTGTTATGTGGTTTCATTTTTTTTTTCATTTTAATGTAATAATTTCTCGTTTTATCGAACATTTTTTCTAACGTTCTATACGAGGTATACCCTCGCTAAATACCGATGCCGTTTTATCACCCAGGCCTACTCTTTCCAGTCAAAGCTCACCGATCCGTCGCTCTTGACCCTCTCGGCGGCCTCTATGGGGTGGTCCAGACTGGGTCGGCCCAGATACACATCTTGTGTGTGAGAGTAGGATGACAGCAGATCCAGCAAACTGGGCAGGATCACATAGTTATCATCATCTACGTGACAGAACCACCTGCAGAACACACACGGGGAAGAAAGCACATGAAACCACTGATGATATCTTTACAAGGCTGTTAATACACTAATGTTCAAAACCGTTTATTATGGGAGCATTATGAATTTTTAAATGCAATTGAAAAGTCTCTTCTGCTCACAGAGGCTGCATTTATTTGATAAACAAAAACAGTAATATTGTGAAATACTATTATGAATTAAAATAACTATTTGAATATATTTTAAAATGTAATTTATTCCTGTGATCAAAGCTGAATTTTCAGCTTCATTACTCCAGTCTTCAGTGTCACATGATCCTTCAGAAGTCATTGTAATATGATGATTTGATGCTCAAGAAACATTTAAGATTATCATCACAGGCAGCGTATCCATTACTCTTCAAATTGCGCAAATTGAAAATATTCCCATTGGAAACACGTCAATTTTGCAAAAAGGTTTTTACGCTCGCATGAGGTGGTTTTTTCAAACAATTCGAAAAATAAATAGTTTACAAAACTGTTTTTGTGCACTTATAGATCCCCTGACGTAGATGACACGGTGTGTTTGGACAGAATCCGAGACAGAGTTCTTTATTAAATACATAAAAGACAAAAGAATTACAGGAATACTGGATCCTAAACCTCATAGAAATGCCACAATCAAGACCTCGAAGCAGATATGAGGGAGAAACACCACATATGTGCCGCTCTCAAGTATAAGGGTCTTTCCTTGTCATTAATAATTGGATAACACACATACGTCTCCTTTGATTATTTTTAATCGCGCACAAACTCGACAATCGACTACTGTGGACTTGTTTTAAATTAATGATCTAAATTAACATCATTTTTATTAATATCTTTCTCATCTACTGCAGTCAGATTGACCGTGGTGAAGGGGACGGATTGGAATCCACTGCTGCTTCAATGTATATGTAATGATGAGTAATTATAATCAAGGTATTTTTCCTTCTAAATATTAAATGAGTTGAGAATGGCTTTGTTATAGAAGTTACCAGTGTGATTAGTGAAATGTTCTTTCGTGTATTTTCTAATGTCTGTATTGGATATCTGAATGCCGTAACACAGTGCTTGCTCATTAAGCCCGGCTTCCAAAAATGAAATAGAGATTTGTTTTGTGTTTGAGAAAGGTCTCCAAAGTGTTGAAACAAAAAGGGGTCATTGAAGCCAATACCATTTCTTTGGTAAAGCCTTGCTTTCCAGCTAGACTAAAGTTTAGCTATCCTTGAGAGAAAGAAGGCATTATCTTGATGTTTTGAGACGACTCTCCTGTTTATAGTTAAGAGCCTGGCCAAATCCGACCTTGGAAAAGCAGTGTTTTTGGGTGTGTTTTAGTCTTCTTGGTTGGAGGTTAAGGAACCACTGCCATTATTGGAGATTGACTGAGTTGTTATTCTAGACATACTGATGCCCATTAACCCAAATCTGCGACCTGCAAGGTCATGATGTGCCTCTGAGTTTCAGCTGCATAATTGATGGAGATATGCTTTTGTTTATCTGTATATGTGTGGAAAATTATCTATTTCTTAGCCAATGACAATCATTCAACCTGTAAGCAATGACGTAGCTTAGACCTTGGAAATGGTATAACTGCTATGATCTTTGTAACTGTAAGCGAGGCGGCATACGAACTCCTGTGAGAGTCTTGAAGCTGACTTCTGCTGATGAAACTATATTCAGTAAATCTTTAATTTTTATATAATTTTTTTTATAATTCTTAATTTTTTTTATAATTCTGACTCCGGGTCTTCATTCTTCATATCTGGTTCTAGGTCTTTGACTGTACACAGTCAGTAGGAAACTCTTAATAACACCAGTTACATGACTGTGCACCCGTAATGACAAATCAAGGATGTTAAAAGGCTTAAAAAGGCAGGTTTAGAGCATGCCCCATTGAAGTCAACAGTGTGTGAATTGTTAAAAGAGGATAACACGGTGTAGGCAACACCGATTTTTGTTGTTTTTGTCTGTACCGGCAGCGCTCCAAATGTACAAAAAAATGAGCTCCATATTAAAACTGACCGGAGTTTTCCTTTATTGGAAACACCGCCATTTCGCAATAGTTTTTTTTGTCGACATTTAGATAAAAGAAAAATGGCAAAAGTCTTACTGTGCGTTCACACCAGACGCGAATCGCGCGTCAAATTCACGCTTACCACGTCTAGTTATACGCTTGACCACTTTGAGTCCATTCGCACATCAAGAGCGAACAAGAGCAAAAGTTTGAAGCGAAATTTACGCGCGTCAGAATTGAAACCCGTTGGCGGCCATCTTTTTTCTGTTGATCAAGCATATATCGAGAGAGTCACCGCTCTGTATTTGCTCTGGAGAGCATGAGGATCATCGTCGCCGTATTTGTCCACCGGACCTTTCGGAGGCGAACCGTTTGCCGAATTTCACCATTTGCTCACTCAAGGAGCTGCGCTGGATGACGGCCGCTGTCAGCGATACTTCCGCCTGTCCCGCGCCCAGTTTGATGACCTGTTGTCCCGCATCGGAGCGTGGATCACCCTCGCTCTCATCCATCTAATCTGTCGTTTTAATGATAAACAGAGCCAGCCTCCAAAAGTTATTAACCTGTCCTGTGATTTTTTCTCTCTCACGGCCAGACACACTTATGCATTATCCATAGACTTATGCACGTATGTTGTTGGTTGTCTTTACATTATAATAAAATTTCATATAATCTAACGTTAGATATGTAATAAATAACATTTAATAGAAAATGAACATGTCTCATGTATTGAAAGAAAGTTTTAACTGATGAAATTTTTGCTTTGTGCATTAGAAGCACACCAGGCATTTAGTCGTATTACAAAATAATTTATTGAATCATCAAGATACTTCACCACGTGAGCAAGCAGCAGGCTCCTGATTGGTTAAAGCAACGCGAATTAACGCCAAAGTTCAGGCGAGAGGCGCGTATTCGCATCAAACACGTCGATGCACAACTAGCACTAACTAAATCATCCGTGCTTAACGCCCCATACGCTCAATTCGCGCGAACTTGAAGTGCGAATGAGGCGTATTCGCGTCTGCCCCACTCTACGCCTCATTCGCGCTGCAGGAATTTTTTACGCACGTAACGCGTCTTTGCATTGACTATCACTCGCGCCTGACGCTCTATTCGTGTCCAGTGTGAACGCACCATTGCACAAATCTGTAATGGAAACACGCCTAAAATAATGTTGAAAACAATTGTGCTGTGCAATTTCTTTAGGGAAACCTGATGAATAAAAAGTTCAAAAGGAACAGCAAAACATTTATAACATTATAAATGCACTTCCGGTCACTTTTAATCATTTGAATGAATAAAGCATTGTTTTTTTTTATCTTACTTAATTTACCCAAAACTTTTCAATGCTAATGTTTCACTGTCGGTTACCAAAAAAATATATAAAGCAGCACGACTGTTTTCAACATTATATTAATCAGAAATGTTTCTTGAGCAGCAAATCATATTACAGTGATCTGCATGATCATGCGACACTGAAGACTAGAGTAATGATGCTGAAAATTCAGATATTATCACAGGAATAAATTACATTTCATCATATATTCACATAGAAAAATGTTATTTTACTTTGTAATTTTTTTTTTACAATATTACAGTTTTTACTGGTGAGCATAATCAAAAACACGTAAAAAATTCTAACGTTTGGCTAAATTAATGATAATGCTGATGATGACGGCTGTATGCTATGGTTTCATGAATTGGGAGATTTTCCATTTAGTGAGATGAATTTCCATTTAAGATGAACTCAACTTTTTTTGTGATTCGATGAACTTGTCATACTCCACAGACATCTTGCAGCACAGGGCTTGACGCGTGTGCGCCGCAGAGCAGTTGGTGTTGATGATGTTGAGCCCTTGAGGAGACAGTGACAGACCACTTATGCTTTTATGACTGAGATGACATCAGGATGTTAGACATAACATAATTTCACATGACATACTCCATGTCATGATGAAATGAAGCATGAATATGCGGTTATTCTAACTAGGCATGGGTCAGGATGGTTTTGTCTAGTCGAGTAGTGAGGTTTTATTATGGTATCTAGAGTCTTTCAGGATTTAGCATTAAGCTTTATATTTGTATCAGTATTTTCTAATTACGTGCTTTCCACCCTCATATCCCCCTGAGATGAGAGATTTATGTATTTTTTGTCTGACGAAAAAAAACGTCATTTTGCATCATCAGAGGATTTTTTGGCCAGAGGCGAAAGACTAAAGTCAGAAGTCGGGTTTGTCCCGCATGTCCTCAACCCGCCCATAGAGGGAGGATCTCACACCCAGAATGAACACATAGTGTCAGCCATGTTTTTATGGAAGCTAAGCTAGCAGGCTCTTGTTCTGTGGAGAAAGCTGAGTAGTAGGGGTTACCATCCTCTTTTTCCCGGACATGTCTGGCCGTCGATGTCTGGGATTCAGCTTTTGCTTTCTGCAGTCGCCATTCATTGTTTACTCGCACAGCTTTTGTTTCAATCTAACTGAATTCATTGCTATTGGTGAATCTGAATGTAGTGTTTACATGAACACTAAACAAGTGATCGGTTGATGTGCGTTTTAACATTGCTAAGAAAATCCCCACTCCTCCGTGAGCGATACGAGACCGGTGCGTCTTACAGGTGTCGCTCATCGGTAATCACGCCGCTGGCCTCATGCCGTTCTCCCGCGGGCCTCACTCGTCCCGCCCGGCTCAGTAAACATAATGAATCGCGACTGTCGAACGCAAAAGCCCAATCCCGGACATTTTGGGCGATCTCGAAACACATTTTCAGGCAGACTCATCACGGAGACTCACTAGTAGCCTAGACTTGTTGTTTAAAGGTGCCATATACAATAATTGAGGTAACAATATCCGAAAAATTAGCTACACGCATCAAAAGAATGAGAAGAAATAAGTGCAAAGATGTCATTAAAAAACTGACAAGTTATAGTGCTGCCGAGATATTAACCTGAATTAGCATGCTAAATTACTAGCCCCGGCCCGGCAGGTATCGTAATACCAGTTCCGGCCATGGGAGGCGGTATGCGGACGGGCAACGTTAGCACCAGCCAAACTGCAATACGCGAGTGAGTCGCGCTCGCGCCGGCTTGTGTGTGTGTGTGTGTGTGTGTGTGTGTGTACTTGAACCTGATGTCATTCGTGTGGAAATACAGCCCACTACTACATTTCAGTTCAGGGAAGAGTTCAAAAAATGATTGGTCGACATTATGCATGAGGAATACATTTTGGTAAGTTGCAGCATACTGTATCTTTCAACAGAGTTCATGTTCTTTTTCCAGCTAGTAGAGACGATCGGTTCACGTGCGCTAGGGATCTGTAGTGTAACATGTACAAGCGCCAAAACGGTATTTATTCTTTGAATTGCGTAATATAATTGACAGAATCTGAGAGCTTAACTAACCTGCTTGCTAAGTGTCAATTGCGTGTGTCTCACGGTGAATTCACGGCGCTAGCTTGATCAACATCAGCGAATGCTGTCTGTCAAATTAATTCACTAACAATAAAAGTGTTATAGTAACAAAACGAATACCATAAACTTCAAATAATTGCCCAAGCTTTTATTTGCCCATACCGTCGAAATGCACCAGCTTGTTTTTGAGATCTATGAGGCGGTCTTCATCATTTAGTGTTGAGATTCATAGTGTTTAGTTTAGTTCACTCTAGTGTTTAGTTCATTGAGTCTCTGATCTCTAAAAATCTCCAAATGTTCCACGTAAAACTGCGGTCTTCCAACCTTTTACTATCATGTCAAATGATTTGAATAACATGCGCGATGGTAGGAGCACAAGTCATTTTTTGGAGGTATACTGCCCCCATCTGTTATGGAATATGGAGTAGGATTTGATTTATTATGGTAGATGGCACCTTTAACTACTGCACTCTGTTACCAGTAGGCATGGCCTCCTAGGGCAGCGAAGCAAGTGCATTATGGGAGTTGTTGTCCCTCATCAACATAAGCCATAAGTCTGGCTTTTCTCAGTCTAGAAAGCTCCAAATTCAAAAATAATTTCACATTTCTCCTACATAAATGACCCATTTTATATACACATTCATTGTGAAGTATCCCTTTAATATTAAGCTGTAAAATGTGTGATTATTGAATAGGCATAACTGCTCAAAGACACTACCTGCTTTCTGCCTGAGGTCCTTATCCTCCCCATCAGTGAAGATAAACGTCTGAAACAGAGAAAGCCATTGTTCACTTCAAAAAAAGAAACAATCTGCAGGAGCCAGAGATGCAGTGACCAGTACTGTAAAATATTTGTAAGGCTGAAATCATCTTTACACATTTTAGTCATGGATTCAAACTCTTTTTTTGTCAGCCAAACCCCTTTGATCTAAATTATTTACCTCAAGTACCCACTGAGAATTTGAAGTTAATATTTCAATAATTTAACAACACATTCACATGTTCATGGTTCTCTTATTTTGGTTAATGTTTACATGACATGAAGGAAAATATATAATGCACTTGAGATAACATTATAGTTTAATATAACTTTAATTTGTTTTTATTTTTATATTCTCCACTTTCATTTAAAATTTTAGTCATTTTTATTATTTTTTTCCTTCTAAGTCAATGTAGTTTTTAATACATTTTTATTTGTTTTAATTATTTTAGTACATCAAGTTAAACAATGAAAATAAGAATTATTGCTATGACAATTTTCAGAAACAAAATAAGTTTTTTATATTTTGTTTCATTTCAGATAACGTTTATTTTATTTCAAGTAAAGAAAATGTTATAACAAATTGGTAAGCAAATAAAAGAACTATTCTTTTTAAAAATGAATTAAACTTGTATTATGTAACTTTACTGTAAACTAGTTGAAACTGTGGTTTTGGAAGTAATTAACAGTAAAAAAAGTCCCTCTATAACCCATCATATATGATTATATTTTATAAATAACTTTGTTTCTTCTTACTTTCGATATCAGTAATGTACATTAGGGTGTTTTGTGTATTTTTCTTTTTGCCATTTAGTGAATGTGGCAAGCAATTTTACAACCTGTATTATAATGGTTAACACTTAATAATAAAAACGTATTATTGTTGAAGTAGATATATTATAGGTATATTAACAATATGTGACTTAATGACATATTGGTGTTTGTGCTTTTTACAACTTAAAACTATATATGCATCCCAAAATACATTTTAAACAAATTTAACAGGACATTTAACGTACAATAATAGGATATAAGAGTAAATAGACAATTTTCATTTTTGGATGAACTACTGCTTTATACTCCGCCACTGCTGCAAGAGTCTCAACACTGGAAATGAAAGGGATTCCAACATTTGGTACATCGAGTTGCACTTTGTAAAACTCCCGAACAAAGCCACTTTGAGAATGTCTGAGATGTTTTTTTCCAGAGTTTAAAGCTTAAAGCTGTTTGAACAGGATTAAAGTTTTCCAATGAGTACATGACGTCTCCAACAAAGTGAAGTATGTGTGCGCATGTAATTATCATTTGAAGATGCTCCTTGAAACTTTTTTTGGAAAGTGTAACTAAAAAACGGCTAAAAGTAGAAAGTCATTTAAGGAATAAAGTTGAGGAGTGTACTTTGCCCCAAAGTCTGGACAAATTCTGCAAATCTAATAGGGAAAGAATGTTTCTTCTGGCATGAGCTGGCACTTACCAAACACACAATCTCGCTTTATGAGCGAAGCTGGATTCTTGAAATTTCTCCTGGGCATTTTGGCCCTGTTGTGCAATGGCAAAACAATGGTTCTGCGATGCTTTACAGGTTTAGTCAATCTTGGGCCCCCCTTGGGCCCCACTCAGCACTCTGGAGAGGCCTCGGGAAGGGGGAGAGTCTGCTGCTCTGGCGCCTTTGGCAGTCAAGTAAATGTGCTTGGATGAAAGCAAACACACGTCGTCTTGTGTCGGAGTGTCTCAGGTTGCTGAGGAACTTCCTCTTCCAGGGGGCCCGAGGGGCACCAAAAGGGCACCAAAACTGAACCCCCCGTTAACCACAAACACTCTTAAAAGCCCCAGGCACACTGCCAGACAGCAGCTGCCACACTTCCTCCTCACAGGTTTACGCTGACCACTGTGTGTATTAACACCTTTAAACATCTCACTGGCCAATTGCAAGGAAGAAGCAAGAAGCAATGAAGTCCACATGAAATGGAAGTTCAGCCTATTTATTTTGCATTGTGAACAAGTCACCCATGCATCTTTTTTTGGACCTTGTAATGTTTAAACAAAAGGTCAAAAATCAACGTTCCAGTAAAACATCAGGCTTCTGGTGACCATTTAGCTCGAAACAAGAGTTTAGAAATAAAACATTTAGTTCGAAAACATCGACATTCCGCCTAATATCTCGGGCGGTGTGACAACACTTGAATCAAATGACTAAAATATATGATGTAACATAAAAAAAAATTATACATAATACTAGAAAACTTGAACTTTTTAAGTGAGCTGTCATCAAATAATTAACTTTATTCTGAAATGCTGTTGAAGCGATTAATCGCATCTTACACAAACGCCTGTAAGTAAATATATAATATATGTGTGTGTGGATGGAAATAGATAGATAGATAGATAGATAGATAGATAGATAGATAGATAGATAGATAGATAGATAGATAGATAGATAGATAGATAGAGCCTATACACTTGCACACACACATATATTTATATAAGTATATATATTTATATATACATTTACCAACTTTTACGTTAGATGCAATTAATTAATCGATTAGACAGGACGACTTATATTTAATTTTGTGCATGTTGTTTTAATGCAGATACTAGATGTGCACATTGTAGAGAGCACAGAAGACTTTCTAGACTTGTCATTGCACAAAGCCAATGAAGAGCCGTCACCAGACGATTGACGATCTCATGTGCAACTTGATATTTTTCATTATTTATTTTTCGATATTAACTAAAAAAACAAAAGTGTATTTTTGATTGGAGATGTCTCGATTGGAATACAGAATTTGCCGTTTTCAGAGAGTTCAATTAAATGTTCATATTTACATTTCGATTGCATTTGAAGAGAGAACTTGGGTGAACAACCCTGACGATGTAGTGAAAAATTGGCAAAAATTAATGTGTAACTTGGGAGTTTCACCTTTAATGGATTCCAGAATAATAGTGATGATTTGAAGCAATTGATTAATACAACACTTCCTTACCTGTTCCTTGGCTTTGGACACCCAGGTCTGAGACAGGAGCTGCAGTCTGGACTTGTGATACTTCCTGGTGGTCTTAACGGCAATAAAAATGTCTCTCAAATCCAACGAGTCTTTGGAACGGGACCCAGGGGAGTTGGCGTGTGCAGCGTCCCCCTCTAACATCGTCTGTGGGTCCCAGGGTCGGCCTCCGGGAGGAAGTGGGTGAATGAAACTACCATCCTTGGCATCATGACTTCCTTGTCCGGGGATCCCGTAGAGGTCGTGTCTGCGTCCGGCTCTGGGGGGCTTGGCAGGGGGTCGCGGTTGGGGCAGATCCGCCTGACGCTGTGGAGGTTGTAAGGAGGGAATAAGGAGCACCAGTAGGGCACAAAATGCCAGGGAAAGCAGGAAGCAGATTTTGTTGGTGCCGACATGGGATACGTGCATTCTTCCTGTACTAAACGCCAGCTCAACCGCCCGCGCATGCCTGACTCGCCACAGCAGCACCCATCTTCACTGCATCACTGCGGACCCTACGGGATCAAAATTTGCATTTCATTTTCATTATCTTAAATTAATAAATCATTCTCTAAACATGAAAATTAACAAATAGGGGTGGGAATCACCAGTGGCTCCACGATACAATTTCACACCTAAGCCACGATATAATCATGATTCCTAAGCCACAAAATAATATTATCACGATTCCTAAGCCACACTAAGATATTATCACGATTTCTAAGCCACAATACAACATTATCACAATTCCTTAACTACAATAAGATATTATCATGATTCCTAAGCCAAGATATGATATTATCACGATTGCTAGGACACGATATTTTCACGATTCCTAAAATATGATATCACGATTCGATTCCTAAGTCACAATATTTTATGACGATTCCTAAAATATGATATCACGATTCGATTCCGTAGGTCCAATATTATCACGATTCCTAAACCACAATCCGATATTATCACGATTCCTAAACCACATACCGATATTATCACGATTCCTTAAAATATGATATCACGATTCTTAAGCCACGATATTATCACGATTCCTAAGCCATAATCCGATATTATCACGATTCCTAAACCATAATCCAATATTATCACGATTCCTAAACCACAATCCGATATTATCGAGATTCTGAAGCCACGATATGATATTATCCCAATTCCTAAAATACAATACGATATTATCACAATTCCTAAGCCACGATATTATGACGATTCCTAAACCATAATCCAATATTTTCACGATTCCTAAACCAAAATCCGATATTATCGCGATTCCTAAGCCACGATATATTATCTCTATTCCTATACAATACGATATTATCACGATTCCATAAATATGATATCACAATTCCTAAGCCACGATATCATCACGATTCCTAAGCCATAATCCAATATTATCACGATTCCTAAACCACAATCCAATATTATCGCAATTCCGAAGCCACGATATGATATTATCCCAATTCCTAAAATACAATACGATATTATCACAATCCTTAAATATGATATCACGATTCCTAAACCACGATATTATCACGATTCCTAAACCATAATCCGATATTATCACGATTCCTAAACCATAATCCGATATTATCACGATTCCTAAGCTATAATCTGATATTACCACGTTTCCGAAACCACAATCCGATATTATCACGATTCCTAAGCCACAATATTAAATGTACCTACCTAATTATGTGCAGAATAGTTTTAATATTTTAGGAAGATACATACATTTTCCAATAAAAGTGTACAACTTGGATGCTAGATGGCACTACTGGCTTATTTTAGTTGTGAAATACTCTAAATAATAAAACAAAGAGAATGAGAGAGATGCAGTAGTGCTGATTTACAGTCTGAAAGAAATCGCAAATTGTTATTATTTAAGATTAAAAGCGCAGAACTTACATTAATTTCATCAATATTAGGAATCCCGAGCCAAAATTCAGCCTCAGAAAAGAATGATGTATGACATCCATGTTTCGATACAATATTCCCACACAAAATATTGTGTTACTGTGTCGTTATAAAACTGTTGCTGTATTGATTTTTTTGCCAAAGCCCTATTATCAAAATCTGCAAATCTAGCAGGCTCTTTAAAGGTTCAAACAAAGTTTCTTTTATTCCCCCTCAAAGCACATTGTGCAATCCAATGAAAGCATATGCATTGAGTTTCATTTTGGCACTGGCAAGCATCTGTCAACCCTAATAACAGCCAAAGCCATCAATGCAAGCCATTTCCTGTCTTCTATTTTCAGAGACGAACTGATACCTCAAGCAGTCACAGATGTGGAAGCTGAAGGCTGCAGTGTTGGCATGAAATCATATTCATACTCAGTCAAGACCAGTTGAAACCTCTCCTTAATGTGACACAACTGCTTCCTCAATGCCAACAGAAACAATGTCGAAAGTATTCCTATTATGCTTTTTCAAATATTCCCTTTAATGCAGTGTGTAATACAGCTGTTTGTGAATGTACTGTAAACCTCGTCTCCCAAAAGAAAGAATCGACCTTAAATTGCATAGGAGTCATTTTTTTTATTCGAATCTCACTACGTGGCGGTTCTACGTCACTAGAAGGTACATTAGCATAATGCTCACCCACGCCCGAACACCTTGACCCGCCCTCAAACGTCATTTTACTGACGACTGCTTCTCAAATCTCAGGTCAACACGGGATTCACAAAACGCTTCCTCTTCAAAGATGGGTCAGTACCTAGTATTTGGACCAGGTTGTTCATCAGAATCACAACCTGTAAGTATGAATAATTATTGATGTAAATATTTTCAACGAAAGGATTATTCAGAAGGGCATTAACTCGCTTATACCATGGTCACTTGCCAAATAACACATTTTTAAAACATTAGTAGGGCTGTCAAATGATTAACCGCAATTGATCGCATCCAAAATAAAAGTTTGTGTTTGCAAAATATATGTGGGTGCACTGCTTATAATTATAACACACATGCTTGAATATATTTAAGAAATATTTTCATGTATATACAGTATATAGATTTATATATACTTATAAATATAAATATTTTTTTTTCTTAAATATACATGCATGTGTGTGTATTTATATATATATACAAAATAATTATACACAGTGCACCCACATATATTTTGTAAACACAAACTTTTATTTTGGATGCGATTAATCATTTGACAGCCCTAAATATTAGCTTATATTTTAATTAGTTTTACAATCAAAATCCAAAGTTTTTACAATTACAAACAATAACTTGGTTTCCCTGGTTACGCCTGAAGCTTTATTTAGCAACCGGAGATATTTATAATCCGCTCATTGCGGCTAACTAGATTTATGTTTTGATGCGATAAAATTGTAAACGGATACTTTGACTGCCTGTTGCTATGGTTACTCACAGCTGATGTAGCCAGCGCATTTATTTATTAATTTTGAACGGTAAACAGTCATTTTACTAGCTGTCCTCCATCACTTTTTAATGGACACCCTGCAGCCAATCAGAATCGCGTATTCACTCAGACCATGTTATAACGGGTGTTACAATACTTTGTTTAGTGTTTTATATTGTGTAAGTTTCCGGCTAACCAGCTAACTCACCTTATTACGGTCTTGTTTTACTGAAATACTTCTGCTAATCAGCTGTAGGACATTATTACCTTATTGTCTGTCGTTCTCACTACTTTAAGTAAAGATAAAGTGCAGGGCGGATGCATGCGCTGTTAAGTTCCAGCATGCATGTGCACAGCAATAAATTAGAAATATACACATTGGTTTGTAGGACTGAGGAAGCCTCCTGACGCAGCTGAAGTTCACTTTTGGTAATGGCATTACCTTCCGAAACACGCGTTATACGAGGTAGACCTATCACAACAGACTCTGTCATCTGGCCAATCAGAGCAGACTCGAGGAAAGGAAAGATTAGAGACTGACTCATCCTTCGAGGAGTCGTTGGATTGGACTGCTGCAGATTAATTTCGGCATTGATAGTGTTGACAAAGAGGATGTGAAGAGAGTTTCAACCAATACAACAAAAAGTGTTTTATAAAACAAATTGTCTACCCTAGCTTAAAAAAACAACGTCCACATGTATAATATATTTAATTTCCTTTTATATAGCAGCTAATCCTGGCCCTCTAATTTGATTGGCATACCATAAGTACTGATTTCAGAGTCCAGACGCCACTTGTCTGAGTTTGCACTTTCCAAACCAGAGTGTGTGTGTGTGTGTCTAAGGCTGATTTCACTGCTGATACACACTATATCCTGAATAGAATTAAATCATGATCTTATTCTTTTTGCATTATTTGTCAAAACTACAGCTTGAATGGAAAATTCTTCTGAAGAAACTTTTTAGGGCCAAAAATAGTTTGGTGTGGTAATGATGCACCAACTGAGAGACATTTAACTGAAATGAAATGAAAACTGATATAAATCACATGAAAATCCTGAAACAGTATGTGATTATTGAGTTTATTTTGTTTACATATGCAGCTCTTACATTATTAGTCTTACTTACTCATGGTTATTGTTGTAACTTATGGTTAAAGTTAAATTCTTTATGAATGTGAATTTTAAATTATATTAGGGCTACTATTAGCAAGTTGTGGCATCTGTATAAACATTAAAAGGAAACTTTATTGGATTCAAAAAATTGTTTGTTGTGTTGGATATGATGCCAGAATTGAGACAGCTTTGATTAAAAGGGAGACAAACGAGACAAAGAGAAAAAAAATTACTTTTCGTTTAGATTATGAAGTTTAAAAGATGTGCTATTTAATATATTTGTAAATCATTTCAATTTTTTTTTTTTCACAGAAATGTGTCTGGGACAAGAGTAAAACAATACAAGTAAATCACAGAAATGTGTCTGGGACAAGAGTAAAACAATACAAGTAAATATGATTGCATAAAAAGTGGATATATTGCATAAAAAGTGGATATTTATAGAAATAAAAAGAAAAAAGGTTTAAATAAATAAATCAACAGTTAGAAGGAACATCTAAGGAACAGTGACTGATACTGAATGATTATATCCAATTTTAAAACTTTTAACGTGTTTTAAAAATGATGTCCAAAAACAATAGTGCACTGCTATGATAGTACGTTAACGTTACCACGTCCAAAAATTAAAATGAACTATTATCGCGGTGTTTAATGTTAGTTTAAAGGTTATTTTAGCAAGCGACCTGCACTAAAGGCTTCATTTAACTTTTCGTTTTCGAGGCATTTTTCTGTATCCTGAACTGAAAGTTCACACAAACCGCACTGAGGTCAGATAAGGGCGAAAGTAAACAAAAGCGAGTTTTATTTCAACCAGACAGGAATTATTGACTGAATGAAACGTCTCTTACCGAGAGCGAGCAGACGCGTTCACGCGAGTGCCATCCTCGCGACTTTTAAACGAATAAACCAGTCAGATCAGACCAGATCAATGCCTCACCAGAGCAATGCGAAGGCGACAGCACTACTGGCGATCTTTCTTCCTCCTCGTCGAGTAAAGTCAGCATGAATCATCCAGATTCAGATCCTTATTGTTCCTGCTTCGACTTCTTCGCTTCGCTTGATGCTTCTCGAGCTTATCTGATCATTTATTAAAAGTTGCTCCCATCGTGCGCCTCCAGCTCTCTCTCCTGCTCAGCTGTGAATCACTGCTGGTGTGTGTTTGTCGAGTGTTTCTAATGACCCCTGTGACTCAATGTGTGTTGCCAAACATTACTAACAACCACATTGTCCTTTCTGTAGATGTCTCGATGCCAGAGGCTTTGAAAACCACCAGCGCCCTCTGGCGGATGTGACGTGAACACAATCACGCCGTCAAAATGTGCTTGTGCTGATGGTGTCACATCAGCTGGGATATTTTTTATACAATAAAAATAAAACTAAGGCTTACCTCTGATGATTTTTTTTAATGTAAATTGCTCATTCTGTGGTGTCCGAACTAAAATTTGTCTCATTTGCTTTGGTACCCCAAAGCCTACTAGGAATCTTGTTTTCTGATTTCTCAATTTGTTAGTTAGGCAACATGTTCTGGTTTTACACATTATGAGAGAGAAAGAGTCAGACCTTTTATTAATTTATTTATTTAGATCTATCTTACACAAGTGTATGCTTAGAAAGAGTAATTTCTGATTCTTCTAATAATAAAAAGTGTAAATCTGATGTGAATGTGAATTATTTCCCTTGTGTACATCTTTGTTGTTTTCAAATATCTATAATAATAAAACTTTAACCAGTTTTATTTATTTTATTATTATTTTACATAACAGCTTTCTTACGTCATACCTTTAATATTTTTTTTACTTTTGGCTCATGTTTTAATGTTTAATTACAATTTTATATAAATTATAATACTACTAGTTTAAAAAAAACGTACGTCATTAGAATCAGGTGGATTTACTATTAATTATTGAAAATGACGCATTATTACTTTACTGGAATTAACATTAAACAACATTGCTTTTAAAACAGCCTGCATCTGCATAAAGATATAAAAAATCTAAAAATTCTATGTCTATGTAAGTCTATGTATAGGTATAGCTATGGTGTATTGTTTTTCATTATATTTTTTTTATTGAGGGTATCTGCTGTTTTTACGCTTGTAATCAAGACAGACACTGAAAGATGTTTCTGCTTCTCCCATGTGTCTGTGAGAGTAAACGCAATAATTAAGCAGTGAACTACACTGTCCCTGGTAGCAGACTAAAATAAACAAAAAAACATAAAAAATAAAATAAAATGAAAAATCACTTATCTGATCATACTGTAGCCCCAGAGATTAGAATAAAAAAATAATAATTAAAAAAATTAAAATAAAATGAAAAATCACAATATCCTTGATCATACTATATCACACCTTGATCCCCTGAGAATAGAAAAAAATAATATGTAAAAAATAAATAAATAAAATGAAAAATCACTCTATCCTTGATCATACTGTAGCCCAGGAGAATAGAATAAAAACTAAAATAATATTTAAAAAAAAAAATGAAAAATCAATTATCTAATCATACTGTAGCCCCAGAGAATAGAATAAAAAATAAAATAATATTTTTAAAAAAATAAATAAAATGAAAAATCACTTATCTGATAATACTGTAGCCCCAGAGGATAGAATAAAAAATAAAATAATATTTTAAAAAATAAAATAAAATGAAAAAATAACTTATGTGATCATACTGTAGCCCCAGAGAATAGAATAGAAAATAAAATGATATTTAAAAAATAAAACAGAATGAAAAATCACTTATCTGATCATACTGTAGCCCCAGAGAATAGAATAAAAAAATAAAAAATAATGATTAAAAAATAAAATAAAAAGAAAAATAACACTATCCTTGATCATACTGTAGCCCGTAGAATAGAATAAAAACTAAAATAATATTTAAAAAATAAAAAATTAATTATCTAATCATACTGTAGCCCCAGAGAATAGAATTAAAAAATAAAATAATATTTTTAAAAAAATAAATAAAATGAAAAATCACTTATCTGATAATACTGTAGACCCAGAGAATAGAATAAAAAATAAAATAATATTTAAAAAAAATTCAAATAAAATGAAAAAAATCACACTATCCTCGATCATACTATAATCACACCTCGATCCCCTGAGAATAGAAAAAAATAAAATAATATATAAAAAATAAAAAAATAAAATTAAAAATCACTTACCTAATCATACTGTAGCCCCAGAGAATAGAATAAAAATAAAATAATATTTTTAAAAAAAATAAATAAAATGAAAAATCACTTATCTGATAATACTGTAGCCCCAGAGGATAGAATAAAAAATAAAATAATATTTTAAAAAATAAAATAAAATGAAAAAATAACTTATGTGATCATACTGTAGCCCCAGAGAATAGAATAGAAAATAAAATGATATTTAAAAAATAAAACAGAATGAAAAATCACTTATCTGATCATACTGTAGCCCCAGAGAATAGAATAAAAAAATAAAAATAATGATTAAAAAAATAAAATAAAAAGAAAAATAACACTATCCTTGATCATACTGTAGCCCGTAGAATAGAATAAAAACTAAAATAATATTTAAAAAATAAAATAAAATGAAAAATTAATTATCTAATCATACTGTAGCCCCAGAGAATAGAATTAAAAAATAAATAATATTTTTAAAAAAATAAATAAAATGAAAAATCACTTATCTGATAATACTGTAGACCCAGAGAATAGAATAAAAAATAAAATAATATTTAAAAAAAAATTCAAATAAAATGAAAAAAATCACACTATCCTCGATCATACTATAATCACACCTCGATCCCCTGAGAATAGAAAAAAAAAAATAATATATAAAAAAATAAATAAATAAAATTAAAAATCACTTATCTAATCATACTGTAGCCCCAGAGAATAGAATAAAAAATAAAATAATATTTAAAAAAAAAAAAAAAATGAAAAATCACTTATGTGATCATATTGTAGCCCCAGAGAATAGAATAAAAAATAAAATAATATTTAAAAAATAAAACAGAATGAAAAATCACTTATCTGATCATACTGTAGCCCTGGAGAATAGAATAAAAAATAAATAATATTAAAAAAAATTAAATAAAACAAAAAATCACTTATTTGATCATATAGCCAAGGAGAATTAAAAAAAGCCCACTCAAATAGCACTGGTGTTAAAAAAAGTAATCAAAAGAAAAGAAAATACAAGAAAAGATAATAAAATAAAAATAAAATAAAAAAATAAATCACTCTATCCCTAATCATACTCTAGCCCAGGAAAATAAAAATGGAAAATAAAAATCACTCTATCCCTGAACATACTGTAGTTCTGGAAAACAAAACGAAGAAACATTCGGCTAATTAGTCAATTTACTTCAGGATATTATCACTGGTTTCGTCAGATGGTTTATCTGATCTCGTGTGACATCTGCTGGAATAACGGAGATGATCTCTTCATCAGATTCCTCAGACTTATGCAAACCTAGTCTACTGTACAAAATACTGTATTTTCAAATATAATTTCCATTAGCTGTTATAACAAACACACACTCAAAACACAACGGGAAGAGACGGCTTGACGTGAAGGATATAAATAGCCCTGCTTGTATTTAGGATGGGTGTGTTTTCTGCTCTCTTCAGCAAGTGCTCCTGTCAATCAAGAAGCCAAACAAGATGGCAGACACAGGACACTGGGCTTTGGCATTGACAGGCAAGTTCATTCTCTTTCTTTTGAACTCTTTAAATTCACTTCTGAGAGATCTTTGACACATGACAAAACATACTAATCATAAATGCTAGTAGTTTAATATGCCAAACGCACACTTCAAACAAGTTTTCAAAATCTGCAAATGCTTCTGATACACTTCCACACAAAACTGTTTCTTTTAACATGTTTAACCATGTGCGTTCTTGTTCTATTTGGTTCATTTCCTTATTCTTCATGTATTTACAGTTGTATTCAGGGTTCCCTGTTGGGTTGTTATTAGTCTATAAGATTTTTGTAATATACTTGTTTAGTACTTGTAGTGTATCGAAGCATATTTTGTCTCAAATATTGCACTCCTCAGTGTAACTCACCAGTTTTGAATTATGTTTATTATTTGTATTACTATTAAAAATGTCACTGTTATTTAGATTTTTACTCACTGTTCTTACAGCTGATTGTATGTCTGTCATTTTGTAGATGTTAAAATGATACGAAAACAACAAATAAAAATGACTAAGTTGCGTATGTAAATGTCTTGTCCTCAGTCTGCGCAGCCGGGCTCCTGTTGGTCCGGTCAGACATCATCACCGAGGCTCCGGCGGGACAGCTGTTTGTCTATGAGTTACACCGAGAAATTTTCCAGAGTGAATTTGAGCCTTTTCATAAAGTCTTCGGTATGTTGGAGATATTGCACAAAGAGAATATCTAACAGCATGTTTTAAAAGTAAGTTGTTTCAGTATTTCATGTGTCTTGTAGGTCAATTTTATAATGATCCCATGGTGTTTAAATGCAACAAGGAGAGATTCCCCGATCTGCCCCGCTGGCTCCGCTTTACCCAGAGGGATTCTTACGACAACGGATTCCTGTACGGGACGCCACTGCCACAGGACCAGGGCCGGAACATCATCGAGGTGAAGAACCCATCGCTCATATAACAGTGACATTAGTGCTGGTTGATATTATTCTCACACTAAAGGCATGTGTCTTATCCACTGCGCCATCACCACCACCAAATTGATTTGGCTTGGACTTAGTCTAGGAAACATAATAAGCACAGGACAATAGATTCTGAGATTTCAATAGTGAGATTTCAAAAACAATCATGATTCTGAAGCTGAAAACGCAGAATATTTTCGATTAATATGCTTGCACACTGTCACAGACTAAATATAAAAAAATACTTTTACTGGAAATATAAGACATTTGGCATTATCAGGACCCACAAATATGCCCCCATTGCACTATTATACATTAAATATAGCAGTTTAATATAGTTCTGACACAAGAATTCTGAAAACGTGATCTTTATATACTATACTATACACAATACCTACGGAAGCGTATTGCATTCACTTGAAGAAAAAAATCTACTCTGTTTTTCTGAATTAACAAGTTAATTATCTCAGAATTACGAGATAATTTTTTCATGGAAAAAATTTTGCTCTGTTTTTCTGAATTAACGAGTTAATTTTTCATGAGAAAAAAAATTGCTCTGATTTTCTGAATTAATGAGTTAATTTTTCATGAGAAAAAAATTTTTTGCTCTGTTTTTTTCTGAATTAACGAGTTCAGAAATTCAGAAAAATTAACTCGAAAAAAAAGTTTTTGCTCTGTTTTTCTGAATTAACTCGTTAATTAAAAAAAAAATCCATGACAAATTAACTCATTAATTCAGAAAAACAGAGCAAAAACTTTTTTTCTCATGAAAAAGTCATTAATTCAGAAAAACAGAGCAACATTTTTTTTCTCATGAAAAATTAACTTGTTAATTCAGAAAAACAGAGCAAATTTTTTTTCTCATGAAAAATTAACTCATTAATTCAGAAAAACAGAGCAAATTTTTTTTTTCTCATGAAAAATTAACTCATTAATTCAGAAAAACAGAGCAAAAACTTTTTTCATGACCAATTATCTCGTAATTCTGAGATAATTAACTCGTTAATTCAGAAAAACAGAGTAGATTTTTTTTCTTCAAGTGAATGCAATACGCCTCCAATACTGTCAGTCTCCAAGATGCATATTATTGGATTTTTGTATTCAGATATATTCAGACACAATATATTGTAACGTCCCTAATAATTTGTGTACACTCAGACACGTTTTTGAACTCTAATGAAAAAAAATCTCTCTCTCAGATATTTGTGATCAACAAACGCAGTTATGAAACATCTCGAGAGAGGCTGGTGATAAACGTGGGTCCTGCAGGTACGTGGTGTTGCTGGATCGGTTACTCGCAGAGGTGGGAGACGTCCAAGTCTTAACATTGCAAGTCACAGTCAAGTCAAGTCGCAACTTAGTCATCAAGTCATGCAAGTCGCACACAGAATAGACATTGATTTTACACATATTTAACTCTGGGACTTTTATTAGCTACTTTATTTAGACACAGAGGGCTGATGGGTTACAAAAATAAATAAATTAGCTTGTGTGTAATAAATACAATATCATTAAGAAGCACTTTAAAGGCTCCAATAATAAAATTAAATGAACAAGAATTAATAAAACTTTTCCCATCTAAATTGCATTCTAAATTAGTACTGTATGCCAAAGTTTGTGTGTTCTCACTCTAAATATCCAGGTGATTTGATCCCATAACACAAAATATCATATGGAAATCTTAAGAAAACAAATCTAATCATTTAAATGATGTAAACCCGGCTATTTTTTAACACGTGGGTTGTTGTAACTGACGTTCTCAACCACTATATTACTTTCATTTATGTTTCGTCCCGCTCCTGTCCGCAAAGAGACTTTTTCTGTACCTCCAAATACTTAAGTTAGCCTACGTGTCGCCACCATACACATCAGCATAATTGCTTCTGATCAAGTATTTGTTATTAAGGCATTAACACACAAAGCACTGTGTTTTTGTCCGGCGTATTTGTCCGGGTTTGTCATGACTGTGCGCCCCCTTAACAGCACTATGTGACTTTTGGCCCTCTAGTGGTTCAAAAACTAAACTGCACATATTTTTTACGCTACTTCATCTATTCAGTAAAATAAATGACTAATAAAAACGCCATATCCGCATCGCTTTACATTTCAAACGCCTTAGTTTTAATACAAGCTCTTTTGTCGCGTCCTGTTCGCACGCATATCCACGAAATCCATCCCACTAGGACTACGATTTTAAAATAGTGGATCAGGAGAACACAAAAACACATTCTGATAGACTGATGATGATGTATTGTCTATTTTGCTGATGTCGAACAAAAAAAAAAAAGTTATTAGTGTACCTTTCATATGACTCGAGTCTCCCACCTCTGGTTACTCGATGTTCTGGTGTTCCTCCAGTGAAGCACCTGCCGTACCAGGCCGAGTTCCTCATCGAGCGGAGAGAGATCGAGAAGGTTCTTCCGGCTGCTGTTCAAGAGGAGATTCAGCTGGACATCCAGCACCTGTGGGGAACCAGCAGACTGCACTTCGTCAACATCACCTCTGCTCTGGACAGAGGCGGCCGCGTACCCCTTCCTCTTCCGGGGTATTTTGAGGGGTAAGAGCGGCTACTCTCAATATTTATGTTTATTATTACAATTATTACTAGCAGTAGTACTATAGAACTACATCTCTTTCAAAAGCTTTGATGTGTTTTGTTTAATTAAAAATTATGTTATTGTTGTGAAATTATTTGTGGAGTATATATATTATACTAAATAATAATACTAACAAAAATAGTGATAATTATTATATAGAATAATTATAATATAATAATAATAAATAATAAAATAACAACTACTATTAATATTATTATTATTACGTTGTTGTGAAATTATTTACCAATTATTATTGGAGTATATATATTGTACTAAATAATAATACTAACAATAATAATAATAATTATTATTATTATAGAATAATTATAATATATTATGTTGTTAAAATTATTATACATTTGACCAATTATTATTAGAGTATATATTATACAAAATAATAACATTTCATATTATTGTTGTAGTATTATTGATTATATTATTATTAATTCATATATTTATTTATGCTTCATATTGGGGCATTTTCTTTTTAAAATCACTTGTTTATTTTAGTATGTATTATTATTACTACAGCATATAATAATCATATTAATATTATTATTTTATTGATAATTATTATACATTTAATATTATTATTTAATTATTAACTAATTTTGCTTACTAATCAGGTATTTGTATCAGTCAGTATTTAAGTATATATTAGATATAGAATATTATAGAATAATTATAATATATTATTATTATGTTGTTAAAGTTATTGTACATTATACAGTATATTATACAAAATAATAACATTTCATATTATTGTTGTAGTATTATTAATTTTAGTATTATTAATTAATATATTGAATTATTCATGCTTCATATTGAGGCATTTTCTTTTTAAAATCACTTTTTCAGTCAGTAATTGTGTTTAGTATAATATTATTATCACTACAGCACATACTAATAATAATAATATTATTATTTCATTAATAATTATTATATATTTAATATTAATATTTAATTACTAACTAATTTTGCTTTAAATTTAAATTTTCTATTTGTTTTAAAAAGCCCTTATCAGTCAGTGTTTTGTTTTCCAGTAAATGTATCCTAATATTCTTTAATTGAGATTTGCGTTATCTATTTCATAACATGAACCTGAATCTTCTAAACACAAATTATGACTTTTTTTTATTGAAATCAAAAGGGGTTCTGTGCCTCCACTGAAAGTCCAGGTAACCCAAAAGGTCATCAAATCAAATTATATTTGTGAACTAAGGCCTTATGGGTTTGGAACGGCATGAGTGACAGAATTGACCTTATTTTGCCACATGTGTGTGTTTGTCTCAGTGTGTATGTGAAACTGGGTTCAGACCAGCCCTTTTCCCAGTGTATGCTGAACCTGGAGACGCCGGCGCAGCAGAGAGAGTGTGTGTCCGGAGGAAAGGTCAGCGGAGACTGCAGCACCTGCACAAACCCCATCAACTGCATCAGCTGGTGCCACACGGTCCTGGTGAGACCCGACACATGCCGTTCTGAGTAACGAGAAGCTCACCTTCATCCTCACATATTCGTTTCTGTACCTTTCATCCCACAGTTCGATCTGTCCAAGCCTGTTCCCCGTGCTCCGGTCCCCACGGTGGGTTCAGGTGTCCTCGCGTGGGGCGGAGAGTTCAGTCCTCCAGAGTCTCCACCCGACAGAGATTTCCTCCCAGACTACATCGTCACCGTCATCGTTCCCTTTGCTCTGGCGTTGATCCTCTGTCTCATCCTGGCGTACATCATGTGCTGTCGGAGAGAGGGAGTGTATGTCTGCTTCACAGAGTTTCTGATGCTAACGCTGTTTGAATGACCATTTCAACTTTCCTTTTCTCTTTGTCTTGTTATTGCAGTCAGAAACGAAATACCAAGACCCCTGAGTAAGTACCCTATACTAAATCACCTCATATCCCTTCATAGGAACCGGCTTTTGTTGAAGGAAAGACACTATTGTTTTTCATTTATTTACTTATTTATTTAGCTGACATTTATTCATTTAGCTGTCGCTTTTATCCAAATCGACTTACAATTGCTATATATGTCAGAGGTCGCATGCCTCTGGAGCAACTAGGGGTTAAGTCTCATGTTCAGGGACACATTGGTGTCTCACAGTGGATTCGAACCCGGGTCTCTCACACCAAAGGCATGTGTCTCATCCACTGCGCCATCACCATCCCCATTTAAACCCACCCTAGTTTTTCAGACACTGCTTAATTTTGGGCTTTCAGACGTGCGCAGAAGGCGCTACTTTCTTAAATCTAACTAAATTGAGGTGATCAAACTTAAATTTCATAGATGACAATATTTAAATATTAGACTTTTTAAATATAAATACTTATAACTCCTAATTAGATATGCTTAAGTAAAGTGAACCACATTTAAATGTGTCATATCTATTAAGGGTCTGAATAATTTTTTAACCCTAAAACCGTATTCTAGACAAATGTTGGCAAAATAGTTTGATTTATTTTTAAAATATACTTCCCTTGATCTGAGCGGTACAAGACTTGGCTACTTTTCTTTAGTTTGCCTCCTGAACACACACAATTTCTTTGACTCAATTCTACAATATTAAGTGGGTAAAAAAAAAAACCTCCATAATGTTGTATTTGGGTCAAAAATGGGCACCCGTAGAAATGAATGGGAAAAACTAATTTAGAGCATTCTAAAATAAGCCAAAATAAGACACCAGGTGACAGCAAAGTCACTTCATCTTTAGGTTTCAGCTCTAAGAACTCATTGGAATGATATTTTAATGAAGTTAAAAAAATAAAACACAAAAATAAAAAAACACGATAAATGGATAGACAAAACTTTATCGAAGTGATATAACATTTAGAATAAATAAAAATTAGTCCTCTGTGTCCACATTTGTCCACAATTACAGGATTAAGGGCTATAAAGTGAATACGGTTTGAGGGCTACGTGGAGTGGATACACATTTAAGTGCTTATTTCATTACACTTCATCTATTTGTGTTTAGATTTCAATTACAATACACATGTTTTTAAGGCTGTTTTCACAAAAGTAGTCTTTTCAACAGATTTAGCCTGAATTTAGCCTAATTGTTTTACACAGGGGATTGTTCATATTTCAATAGCTTGGTGTGTGTGTATATATATATATATATATATATATATATATATATATTTCAAACAAAACGGTAGGGAAAAAGCTTGTTTATGCCACAGAATAAAAAATAAATAAAAAAGGTAATTGCAACTCTCATAATTATGACTTTTTTTCTTAAAATTGAATTGTGAGATATAAACTTAGAAATGTGAGTTATAAAGTTCCGTTTGTGATATATACACTCGCTATTGTGGGAAAAATATCAGAATTGTGAGATAAAGACTTGCAATTACCTTTTTTTTAATATTTTATTATGTAGCAGAAACAAGCTTCCATAATAGAAACCTTTAATTTTAAAGTTTCATGGCAAAAAAATGCAGTGTTCAGATTTCTGTTCTGGAAATGTGTGCAAATAATTAAATAAATAATGGAGCATTCAATATTTTAATGTAACTTTAACGTAACGTAATATCATTAACCAAGTAGGGAAAATATGGTAATATAATCTTTTGGTTAAAATGCTTACCCTATTCACCTTTGTTGTCTTGCCTTAAAGGGATAGTTCACCCAAAAATTAAAATTCTGTCATTTAGTCACGAGTTTCTGTCTTCTGTTGAACTCAAAAGAAGATATTTTGAAGAATACAGCAACCAAACAGTTGATGGACCCCGTTGATTTACAAACTATTGGAAAAGGAAAATAAAAACACTAGGTTTGGTAACAGCAGAAGACATATAATCCTGTATAAAGAGAGAAATTCATACAGGTTTGAAACAGCATGAGGATGAGTAAATGATGACAGGATTTTCCTTTTTGGGTGAACAATCCTTTTAACTCAACAACACACATAACATACTTCCCTTTCTTGGCGTTTCAGTCTCCAGCTGTACCATCACCACACCATCCAGGACAACGCCAGCGAGCTGCGGAGGATGGCGGGCGGCGACCGGCTCACGGTGGATCCGCCTCGACAGTGCTTACAGCCACTCCTCATGGCGGAGCAGGGCATGGCCGAGCGCTGAGCAACACCACATGCTTTAACTTTCACTATTTGTTTCTTTGAGTGTCTTTGCGAAACACTTCACCAAAAAAAAAAAAAAAAAAAAAATTCATCCAAAAATGTTATTCCAACCCCATAGGCTGCTGTTGTTTTTCATGAAACACAAAAGGAGAAAGGACAAAAAGCATAGAGCACTATAAAACCTGTCCATGTGACCTGTGCAGTGAGTTAAAGGGATAGTTCACTTTGAAATTATTTTTTGGTATGTTTTATCTTACCTCAAGGACATCCAAGATGTAGGTGTCTTTGTTTCCGCAGTATTTTGGCATTTTTCGGTCAAACCGGTGTTGTCTGCCAGTCATATAATGCAAAAAAGTCTAAATTAAACATGATTTAATGACTCGTAAATGTAAGTACACATTGATGGCCTAAGACACGAAACGAGCGGTTTGTGTGAGAAAACGAACAGTATTTATATCGTTTTTACCTCGTGTAATGACAGCCACGTCCAAGTGATCTGAATCAGTTGTCAATATCCAACTGAACCGAACTGAATCATGTTCAAGAATCCGCTGGAAGTGATCGCTTGCGTGTGTACATTATTCAATATTTACACAGAAATTTCGGAAGTTTTACCTTTCACTAAACATATTTAGATATACCGAAATCGTCTTCCATTGCAATTTCCTGTATATCTAAATATGTTTAGTAAAGGGTAAAAATTCCGAAATCTCTGTGTAAACAAAGAGTGACGTCGACACTTCTGGCGAAACGTTGGGCATGGTTCAGTTTAGACAACTAATTCAAATCACTTGGACTGTGATTACACGAGGTAAAAACGATATAAATACTGTTAGTTTTCACACACAAACCGCTCGTTTCGTGTCTTAGGCCATCAATGTGTACTTACATTTACGAGTCATTAAATCATGTTTAATTTGGACTTCTCTGTGCATGCTCGTTGAGGTGGTGACCATAGACCTCCATTATATGACTGACAGACAAGAACGGTTTGACCTAAAAATGTCAAAATTGAAAATACTGTGGAAAAAGACACCTACATCTTAGATGCCCTTGAGGTAAGATAAAACATACCAAAAAGTAATTTCAAAGTGAACTATCCCTTTAAAGTCTTTATGTGAGGAACTGAACAAAACAAAGTCTGTTCTTCGTGTAATGCTTTGCTTCACACGTCATTTTGATTGTTTTAGTAGGACCATGAATATTTTTGCATTAGTCAAATCTGACCGATCTGCTTAACCCTCTGGCAGCCTTAAGGTCATTTTAGATTTGGATTTCTTTTTTGTTTTTGTTTGTTTGTTTGTTAGGGATGTGCAAAATGAAGACACACACACTTGGACAAAACTTGACTAGAATGGCAAATGGTGTTAAAAAAAGTCACACTTGTAATCTGTACTGAATTGGAAATACAAAAATACAGATTTTTGTAGGGAGTATTGTTGCTGATACCAATACAGGATCAGTTATTTCCAGTCTGAACGACATAATGGGAACATGGTCTGTTTGGAGTTTGGATCAGTTTACTAAGATTTCTTTCACTCTTATAATCAACTATTGTATGGGGTGCAAAATGTGGTTTGATGTGAAGTGAATAAATAAATAAAAGTCTGAAATGAATTTTCTGAATTAACATACAGTACAACTGTGGTCTGTAAAAATCTGATAAAATATCCTTTCTTCTTCGTGTGCTTAAAGTACCGATACGGTGTTGACGCTGCATTGCAATCTATCGACGTGGATCGGCGCACTTGTTCTTGAGTTTATGTAATTGAAAGTAATGAGTGGATATTCACCACAGACAGTAAAAGAAATAGACACAGTGACCCCATAGATTTCAACAGAGAAAAGTGAAGCCCATTAGATGCACTCACTTCCTGATGGCTGAGCGTACCGTGTCTGCTACAATGGCGGCCCCCAGAAAGGCTTCAGTTTCCAGCTGATGGATTTCCCCCTTGATGTCAATCAGAGAACAGCAGCGCTCGCAGGTAAGGGGGCGGGGCCTCATCTGGCATTGGCTGCATGCTTCTGTCTGTCTAGCCAGGATGCCCTTTCCATAGGTGGATCTCGAACACCTGATGATAAAAGAGAAACCCACATAAAGTGCACATATTTTATATCAGAGAATAGAGAATATAAAGCCGCAATGGTGATTTGCGGCATGTCATCTCACATAGCATTTATCCTTGTCGCCATTTTATGTTATATATTCATGAGGCAAAACCTAAATGCTTTCAGACATGTCTTTTACTGGTGTTTAGATCATCGCACACAGATTACATCACAACCCGCACATGCAAATCACATCATGTGACTTAAATACCCTCTCCCAGGCATAGGAACCAATGAATGCACATCATGCATACACATTATCTCAATAAACCACATTTTATCACCGTAGTAAGGTAACGTTAGCACAGCGGGTTCAATAATATAACGTTTTACAGTGTTTTTCGATTGCGAAACGACAGTGAGCACAACTGGAGCTACATGTGCAAAACTCAAACTCCAGTCTGCACAGCAGCACTTCATGTGGACCAAACTCTAGTTCGTTTTTCATTGCTTGAACACAGTTTTCAAAACTCTACACACTTATCCCACAACCTGCACAACACTGTGGATTTACAGCACTTTGTTCAAATGCTAACCCACTTCTGTCAAAACTGTGAACCACACATTCAAAACAGAATAAGTTTCAGCCTTGTGCCTTTCACACACTGCTGATTTTCAAACAATTTCAGCTGAAAGGCTAAAAACTTTAAAGGCCTGATGCTTGAGAGAGGCAGGGTTACAGTATTACAGAATGTGCTTTTCGTTTCTACCTTTTTCTCATTACTGTAATTCTGTAAATTACTAGACTATTGAAGCAAACTGCTAATTTTCAATTGTTATGTTCTGCACAACTGTGGATTTACAGCAATGAAAAACGAACTAGAGTTTGGTCCACATGAACTGCTGCTGTGCAGACTGGAGTTACAGTTTTGCACATGTACTGTAGCTCCAGTTGTGCTCACTGTCGTTTAGCAATCGAAAAACTGTAATTACTTCATGCTAGCGAGCTAACTGGGATAGCTAGGATTCATTTCCAATCGATTTCACTTTCCGGACATGATTAAAACGGACTAAAGGGAACTTAGATTTTTTTAACAATACTTTTTTTTAATTTTTTACAACACACAATACTTCATGTTATAAGTAATATATAAAAAGACGACATGACTTACTTGTCGTAATCAAGCTGCAGAAGCTTGTGTTGACTGTCACTGTTCATTGCTGAATGTGGAAACCATTTAACCCAACAGCCGGGTTATTTACATTTTGTTAACTGTTGTAATTGCTTCCATTGTTTTACTTTTAGAGTGAAATAATAATAATAAAAGAAATACAGTCAATTGATTAAAAAAACTAACTTGATCAATCACATTTTTTTTCTGATTATTCACGCAAATAAAAACAATTTTAATATATATTTTGTTATGTTGTAGAAACAACATAAAGACGGGATATTTTAAATTATTCTTTAATGGCATCTTTTTATGAATAAAGGCCATTACTGATACTCCTGCTGTCTTGATAAAATTATTCCCCATTTTAAATATTAGACCTTCGACTTAAAGCGGTGGAGGCCCCTGCGCTTGAGTCATTTCCAGCCCTACTTTCTATATAAACAACATGATATATACACGAGCTGTGTAGCTAACATTACACGAAAAAGAAATCACGATTCTGAAAAAACTAAACAAAATAACAATTAATTAGAGGTTCTGACAAAATGTCAATTTCAATTTTAAGTCTATTTAAAATGTTTAATTATTTAAATGAATAAAACACTTGGTATGAATGAATTAATCAATGACTCACTCAAACACTTGACTTGTTTTATTAGTGGATGAATCAGCATTTTTGAACAAATCTCCTGAATGAATGATTCAAAGACAAATATTTTTAGTCACTTGTCGCCATCTGGTGGCGTAAAAATGTCATCGATCCAAACATTTTCACAGTGTGAAAAAACCCCGGAATCATTTATTTATTTATTTATTTATTTTTATTAAACTTTTACAAAAGCTTATAATGACTTCCCCCCCATAAATAAATACTGATTAAAAATATAATTTCATTCAATTGTAGGCTTAATTAGATAGCATTTTATAGTGCAATATTATAGCCTACAGGACGTGCTCTCAGTAAAGATATCAAAATAACACATTAAACAAGATAAAGAATGTGTGTGTAATAGTGAGTGGATGGGTGTTTTAGTGACATTTGAAAAAGATCAATACTATATGCACACAAATGAACACTTTACAGTAAATGAAAAATACTACACTATCACAGCTTATAAACAAGCATGACGTCATCCAATCTTATAAAAATAAAAATAAAAAATAAATCTCCCTTGCGCCACGCATTTTCCAATTATTTTAATAATAAAACTGTTCAGAAAGAATAAATCTCATATGAAAACGCCCAAACTGAATTTGTAACTTCAATAAATGTGTTCAGATCGGTGTGTTCATGTGCGCGTGCATGCGTGATTTGAATTTCGGTTGCTATAGCGACGCTGCGCGTGTTTTGAATTCTGAATGCATATTTACACTTGAACCGATCGATCGCTGTTTGTTGATTGAGAGAGACGAGGCGAATTCACAGACTTTTGCTGAGCGAATCTTGCGATTTTGAAGCTGATTTCTGAGAAAAGACTTTTATTCTGCAGAATATATCCTTTATATTTATATTTTTAAAAGTTATATAGTTTCTGAGAATACTTTTTATAGTTTTTTTATTTTAGAAAAAAAATCTTTCTTTCTTTTCTTTCTTTCTTTCTTTTTTCCTTTCTTATTTTTTATTTTAATTTTCTTTTCTTTATTTTTTTCATTGAAGGTGATTTGTATTGTACTGCATTTTGTGCTGTATTTTTTGTTGTTGTATTGCAGGTTGGAGGAGGATGTCGACGGCTCACTTGACGGGTGAAAGAAGAGGTGGTGAGTGCTTTAGTTTTTCATTCTTGGTTTTTGGTATGATTTTGTTCAATAACTGACTACATTAATGTGAAGAACCCATTTGAAGAACCCCCCCCCCCATCAAAT